TCTTTCCATGGTAACTATACACAATGCTGGCGATGGTACGAGTTGGCGGTAAGTGAAACAAAAGCACTAGAGAAGAAGCTTATTTTTAATTTTTTTTTCTTTAAAATTACAACGACAAAATTAAATAAGAAAGAAAAATCCATCTGCCATCTCACATTAACACTACAAAATGTGATCTGACTTGTTGTCCCCACCCGCCTCCTTTCCCCTTTTTCCCCCCTTTTCTTTTCAATGCTGTTGAGTAATGCCGCCTGGACTTTGGATGTACATATTGTTTTGTAGCAGTCTGAGCTGTTTGATTACTGACTTCATGGTGATTTCCCCTTGCACATCTTACTCAGAGTTACTGAACTCCAGTTTGGCTGGTTTTTATTAATGCACCCATCTCCTCCACTCTTTCTTGCCCCTTTCTCTTTTGCTGTCTTTCTGAGACCTGTTTGTAGCTGTGATTTTGTTTTTTCTCTGTCTGTCTCTCTCTCTCTCTCTCTCTCTGTCTCTCTCTTGCCCTCCCCAGTTTATTTTTTTTACTCTGTTAAATGCAGCTGTTGGTCTCTCTTTGCTGACTGGTGGTTTCTGATTGGTTCTGGCAGTTTTTTCCTTTAAGTGCTTGTGTTGCACTTTGCTGTAGCAGCTGATTTCAGGCACTCGCTCCATCTTAATGATTGTCTGTGAGATCCTCTCCCCTCCCTCTCCCCCTCCTTCCACACCTCTGGATCAGTTGTTTGGGTTTTTTTTTTCCCTTTCTTTTCTCTCTGTGTGTTGTAACTGCATGCTCTCAGTCTCATCATTGTTGTTTCCCATTCTTTCTTTTTAAATGTGTAATGTTTATATTGTTTTGAGGCCCAAACTAGAGTAAATGTGGTTTCAGACTCCCCTGGCCTGCAAGGACTTGCCATTCCATGAACACGCCCCTCCCAGGGTATAATAGGACTCTCTGAGGTTTACTTCTCCTGAATGCTGCCCTCAGTTTCATTTTGACCTGAAATTTTGACAGATCATTGACTCCAGATAAAAGAATTCACCCTCCTCACAAGAACTTTGCTGGCTGTGCCTGACACAGGGCTGCAGTAACTTGGCTTCCAAACCCCATCCATCCTTTCTTTATCAGCACCATCTCTGCTGCAACACCCACTTGCTGTAGCACTCAGAATGCTTCCAAATACGCAGAGCTCTGTAATGAGGGTGGAAGGCACAGTGAGACTCTTTCCATACTGTTGTTTTTAAGAGATTTTTTAATGAAGAGTTTGTACTTAGAGGTGACCAAATTAGCAAGTCCAAACATCCTGAAACTGAGTTTGGAGGATAATGCTCAAGAGGACTTAAACAATCTTCTTTGGCCTCAAGAGATTAAATTTAAGGCAACTGGAATCAAAATTACTTTTCTGTCTGTGGACCAGTTAGTGACATCAGTGGACCACCACAGCTTAATGATGGGCTTCTAGACCAAGGTAGCTCTACTTCACTACCTGCTTTGCTCTTCTTCTTGAGATTCAGCAGCCATCATTCTTCTGACTCTAATGGAGTTTGGCTAAGGGAGCAATGTTTTTGCCTTTGGATTGGCGAGCTGTAGATATCCATTGTACTCAGTGATGGCAGGACGTCTGAAAATCCCTCTTACTCTTGTTGGCCTTTTGTTTAATGCATAATTAAAAGTGCCACATTTAGCTGTAATGTTTATAATTAAATGGCAACTGTAAAAGTAATTTAAATGTCTTGCCTTTTTGTAAAGCTAGTTGTTTGATTTCTTTGCGCTCAGCTGTATAGTGTATGTGATACTAGAGAGATTTCCAGCATTTTCCTAATATCCTGTGCTTCCTCCCCTCTCCTCCCCATCCCCTTTCTTACTTTTAGGTGAACAATGCCACAGCACGAGTAATGACCAATAAGAAGATGGTCACGCCATATGCAAATGGTAAGAGAATGCTTGTGCTTATTGTAGATTCAGGAGAGGTTTGCAGGTAAATGAAATGTTAGTGGGGAAGGAGGGGATAATAAACACTGCAATCTCTTCTGCAAAAAACAAATACTACTTGGTGTCTATATAGTGTTCTTTGATCACTTTACCAAGGAGGCAAAAAACATTATGCCCATTTTACAGGTAGGAAAAATGAGGCAGTGAGAGGTGAAATGATTTGCCCAGCAGGCAAGTGGCAGAGCCAGAAAGAGAACCCAGGCATTTGAGTCCCATCCCACTGCTCTGTCCAGTGAGCAGTATTGCGTGACCCTATTAAAAGCTCCTGTTGAGTTCATCGTGATGTGCTGAGCGCTCAACACCTTTGACACTCAAGTCACTTATTTAGGCAACTAAATCAGTGGATTTAGCAGCCTAACTTTAGACGCCTGTCTCTTTTTTTTTTTTTTTTTCCTTGAATCTTGAACTTAATTGTAACAGTAAAAGCTGAGACAAAAAGCTTGTTTATTTTCAGTAGTTTTCTAAGGAACTCAAATAAGAAAACATGAGGGGCATTTTTACACAGGTATGTGTCTCATGCAGTTGTATAAGCGGCAAAACGCACGTCAGCATGCAGAAAATGGCGGCAGTCCACTTTTGAACTAAAACACACCAAAGGTTTTTCAGTTCAAAAGCGCACTGCCGCCATTTTCTGCATGCTGACATGCATTTTGTCACTTATACAACTACAAGTGTGTCAGCTTGCATGCGGAGCAGACTCAATTGTCGCAGCGCAAAAAAGTATGTGTATAAATGCCCTAAGTTGCTTTGTGAATGAAGAACTGCTCCAGTTAGAAGCCAACAAGTCTGTCTGCTGTTTCTAGATTGCACTGCAATACTCCTGTTTAACTGTATCCGTGTTGCATAAAAATGCTTTCTTTTTCTCTAGGAGCTGAACACTGTTTAATTGTATAGGATGCTGTATACTTTAAATCTTGGCAACAGAAATGAGACACTGAATTAACAATTAGGGCTGTGCGGAACAGGCCCTATTCAACTAGGATTTGGATTCAGCCCGAATCGGGGACAGTGATTCATTTCGGCTGAATCCAAATCTGAAGATTCAATGCTGATTTAGAGAATCAGTGATTCATCCATAGACATAGCTTTAAATGTTTTTTCTACATACCTCGAGGTAGCAGGCGTGGCCCGTGAATGCTGCGATGCTGGGACGCATGGAGCGTCCTATAGGACTGCGGGGGGGCCCTCCATGTGTTTGGAAGTACTTCAGTCCACTTCTGGGTCTGCCAAGGAGTGTGCTGGGGCCCCCCTGCGCCTCCTTGCCTTGGCAATCGGCTGCAGGGGGACCCCAGGTGCCCCCCCAGACCCAGGAGGCACCAGTTGCCAAGTCAGGTGGGTGCAGGGGGCCCCCAAGCGCACTCTCTGGCAGACCCAGAAGTGGACCGGAAGTGTTTCTGGTCCACTTTCAAGTCTGCTGCTGAGCGTGCTGGGGAGCCCCCTACACTTCTGTGGGACACTCCATGCACCCCAACATCACAGCATTCATGAGCCACCTTGAGGTATGTAGAAAAAACGTTTAAAGCTGTGTCTATGTCCGAATCTCTCTGAATCAATTTGGAGGGTTCCGATTCAACTTGGAGAGATTAAAGGGTACTCTGATTCGATTCAGATTTGGAGATTCAGTCACCGAATTGGGCCGAATCAAATCAGGGACCGAAGCTTTGCACAGCCCTATTATCAATGTTGTTCTAGGACTTGCAGAACGGTTCCCAGTCACAGTGGGGAAACAAGTTAAACATGCAGTAGTTAATGAGAGAGCCTGGGTCTGAGGGTTGGAACAGCGCTGAAAATACTGAGCTCTCCTACAGACTTACTGTCTGACCTGAAGTTATTTTTTAACTGGGGTAATACCTCACAGGAGTGTTCTGGAACTTGATGAATGTTTGTAAAGTACTTTTTGGAATCCTGTAGTGAAAAGCTCTGTGGAAGTGCAAACCTATCATACTGGTTTATCCTAAAAATAAGGGCAGAGACCTACAGGGCTGTTTGGAACCAGGGCTTGGGTTACATGGTAGGATGCAGGAGCATCTTTTTGCTTTGTTGACCCATAAAATCAACATTAAAATAAAGTAAGGGTGTTTGATGCCTGGCTAGGGTTGGGGCTTTTTGGTTAATGCTTTGTGCCATGAAGTGAGAGATGCTGGTTTGGGACCTGTATCCATATCTATCTTTCCAGGGCCTTTGTATGTGCATCTATCATCTTAGTATTTTGCTTTTGAAGGTGAGCAGTGTAGCAGCAGCACTCTCTTTCAGTGAGGAGGTGCATTATCATTCAGCGTTACTCTTCCAGTGGTGACATTGATGGGCTTGTTGCTAAATTAGGTCAGGATGATGCTCGTGAGACCTCCAAACTAGCTGAGGTTGTTAAATGTGCAGTAGGTTTTTCAGAACTTCAGAAGGGGTACGAGGGGAGAGTAAGAGCTTGTTTAAATATCAAAACCTGCAGTTACCAGCCAAGAAGGTAAGGCCTGCCCTGAAAAGTCAAGACTGTTAGTGGAAGTCAGACTGGATCCTTTTCAAGGGTCTGGACTTCCCTCTTTCTCTCCCCTCCATGGACAGAGCGGAGAGAGAGAGAGACACACAATGGTTCTGCTCTCTGGGAAATGTGCTTCTTCTCATGCTGTTTCCTACAATGGTAGGCGTCTCACCAAACCTCAGACTTCTTATTTTAACATTACTCAGTCTCGCATATATTTGCATTTGTTGCCCATTGTGAAGATTATATTAAAAATGATTCTCGAGGAGAAACTGCATCTGCAAAGCGATCTGGGGAGGCAGGAAAATTAAAATAAATGGAGGGGAGAAAATGCAGAAGGAACAGACTTCATTTAAAATGCTTTTATGAGACATTCCATGTAATTCAGTTACCCAGGAAATCTCTGCTTGATTGCCATGTTTTGGTCGAGTGAATCTCTAGCAAATACCACAAGCAGCGTGTTTTGAGATATTTAGGCTATAAGATGACTTCCCTCTGATTGCAGGCTCAGCTAACGATTTAGAATCTACAACATTCTCAGTGACTCCTCAGGTTAGTCGGAATCGACAGCAAAGATCATGGGAAGAGCGCACAATTCCACAGGTCAAATATGGGGTTTGTAATGCACCTGTATAAGAGAGAGTTGGTATTCTGCTCAGCTCTGTAACTTGCAGCTTACACAGTGGATTAGCCAGCATTTTGCCTTGCCCTCTCATATAGTGCTCTATACCTAGGCCCTGACATTCAGAAAGGCAATCTGCTTTCATCCAAAAACACAGCCTTGTGGAAGCACTACTGGGAGATGAGCCTACAGCAGAGCTGTAGGTGTGAAGCTCCTGTTGTTTTACTTTCCCCATTCTGTCTACAGGTGTAGACTTTGGCATTCACTGCTGTCTTTACTGTTACAGGTTGGAAGTTGAGCCCTGTGGTTGGAGCAGTGTACGGCCCTGAGTTATATGCAGGTAGAACTTAAATAGACACTTTGACTTCTGCCATTTAACTGCAGTGGTATTTGTTTGTGTTCTCAATCTGCTGTTTCTTTATAACCTTTTTTACGTTTTTTATTCTTTTTAAAATGAAATTAGCGTCCAGCTTTCAAGCAGATGTCTCGCTGGGCAATGACGCCGCAGTGCCCCTGTCAGGAAGGGGGGGTATTAACACTTACATTCCTTTAATCAGTAAGTAGCCCCTATTGGCCCCTGTATTGTTACTGTGCTTGAGTAAACAATGACTTGTTAGCCTTCTCTTCTCCAGCCTGTATAATATATACTTAAAAGGATGGGTTTTGCTGGGCATAGATTTGCCACCAGGCTGAGCAGCGGCCAGAATCTTTGAGTTTTGCAGTACATTTGTGCTTGCTTTCTGGAAGCCCCAGCCAAACAAAGAAGTGATACACCAGGAGGGAGGGGAGCTTAAGGAGAGTGCCATTGCCTCTGCTCTGAAACCAAAGACATCAAATAGGCAAATCCCCCAAGTACATATTATACAAGCTGCTAAACCGCGAGTCTGCTGCAGGCCCTCTCGTGGCATGCACCTGGAAGCATCTTGGGTTGAAGTTGTGCCTTGCGACTGGCTCCTCCTGGGTATCGGTTATTGCATTGTGTTTACAGCTGCCTCTGAGGGTTTGACATTGTTTTGCCCTGAGCCAGTTTACTCCAGCATGAAGCGTAATAAAACAGGGCCCAATATTCATGGAACCGGTTACTGGTCACATTTGTCAAAGGAAGATGGGCTCTCGGTAAACTGGCACCTTATGGGGAATTCCTTCTGCTCTTGCACATGGGGCATCCTGTCTTTCTGGCTTGAACTTGGGGGAGAGGGGAGTTGGCAAAGAGGGGGAAAAGAGGACTCTGATGTCAGTTGACCATTTTCTTTTAAGGGTCTCATAACAAATTATTTCTGAAAGGGCTTCCAAAATGTTGGAAGTCTCCTGCTGTATAGGTAGGAACTCTGTGCTGCTTGGACTTTCTAACCAGACTGCATGGGGGTGTCAGAATGGGAGGGGGTAGGGAATTATGCTATGTTTGTGATGGATGAGGCATGCCATAGCATTAACCCCTTGCATGCCAGGCGTCTTTGCAGCCCTTCTCCCCCTCAGGGCCATGATGTAGCAGGAGGCATGCCCCTTTGCAGGACAGATGCAGAACATCCCACAACTTCGGAGACTTTTGTGTTATTTTGTTGGAAGCGGGCGATTGCTTATCGACCCAAGGTTGTTATTTACTTCACCTTTCTCCTTGTTTGTCTTTACAGTTCCAGGCTTTCCCTATCCAACTGCAGCCACCACAGCAGCCGCATTTCGAGGAGCCCATCTAAGGGGCCGAGGACGGACAGTATATGGTGCAGTCAGGGCAGTACCCCCCACAGCCATCCCTGCCTACCCAGGGTAAGCACTGGACACTAAACAGAGTGCCATGCACCACACTGAGCAGTAACTGATTGTCTAAGGATAACAAGCAGAGATCTTCTGGATGGTGAGAGTCAGAATGTGCTAGGACCAGAGCACTTAGCACCCAACTATGCTGAAAAAGTCTTCCACATTTTAAATCTTCCACGTGTTAAGTCTTCTTTTGTTTAAAACACTCAATTTCAGTATCCTGAAGTTCTAATAATTCAAGGCAACTGCCTAAAACTCTCTAGCAGATTCCTTCATGTTTTAGCAGTTTGTCTACATGGAATTCCTCTTGCATTAACACAATGTGGAATAACACTACTGAGAAGGACAAAGAAAGGGTGTAAAATCTCTGGATTGAGTTGGCTGCTCTTCTCTGCACTCCTTTTGCTTTCTGTTATCTGGGAGTGAGGAGAGTTGTCCATTATCTTCATGCCTCACCATCTTGGAGTAGGACATAGGAAAGCCAGTTACCCACAATGGATTTGCTTTCTTTGTTGGAGACAGTTTAAAAAGGTTTAAAACAAAGAGCAATCAAGTCCATTTAAATGAAGACAGGAGTGAGATGGAGGAGAGGGAGAATGAAACTGCAACATGCTTCTAGCAGTAGATGTATAGAGCACTGATGGACATGCTGCTGTGAGCACCCTTTGCCCTCCAGTTTTCATCATTTGTGCAGTGGAATGGATTCTGCAGCAACAAGCTATTCTGCTGTTGTTTGAAAGTTGTAGGTTGCTCAATTGTTTTTTGAGGGTTTTTTCTGGTTTTTTATTTATTTATTTATTTTTTTAAGTGTGATGGCATGATGATGATTCAATATATTTTCTCAACAAGTCTCTTCTTTTTGAATCTGAGAATGCCTCACTTTGTCTTGAAAACATGGCAAACAAGCTATGTCCTCACAATGTCACAGCAGGAAAACTAAGTAGAAGAGAATCCTTCTTGAGAAAGAGAAAAGTGTACCCCCACCTCCCAATTTGCATAGTAAACCAGTATAGAGATGGAGAATATAAACCGCAAGCTTCCTAAAACCACGGTGACATAACATCTTGCCCTAGGGTGTATCAACTTGGAACTTTTTGTATAATAGACTATGATGGGGAATTACTACTGCACTTTCTTCTTTACAGAGTCCTGTCCAGTTTTGGAACAGATCTTAATAAAGCAAGTTGCAGTAGCCAGACATTCATGTAGTCTATAACAAGAACTTTTAGCAATATTTTCTTGGATTCACATCTTGCATTAGACAAATAATTAGTCTGGACTTAGTACATCCCAATAACCTATGGAGGAATCTGTTGTCTGAACTGAAGGTTCACAATTAGGTTTTGCTGGGTTTTCAGACAATCAACCCTTTATACATAGCTCCATCTCCTCTCTACAGACGTTACCAATTAACATCCTCTATTTCCTAATCCTGGCCTCTGACTTAAAACCTCTGTTCATCTTTGTTACATAATAATTATGACCCCAACCTGGTTCATCAGGAAATGCACCAGAGTGAAACACACAAGCAAAACAGAGCTTAGCTGTCCAAAAGAATAAATGAATACCTGCCTGGGGGAGGGGTCTTGTATTTTTTATCCCTGATAGTAACGTCTAGAGCATTCCTAGCAAGAGGCTGTCATCTGTGGTACACAGGGAGGACTTTTCTTGATAGCCTTCTTGGGCTTACATTTAGTTAAAGGGTTAATTTCCATGTAGAATAGCGCCCAAGCTCCAGTGACTTCCCTTTCCAAGTAATGTCTCATGACTGTATTTACTTACAATACATTGGTTTGTCTGACCCTACTGTCTGATTTTTGTAGGCCTTCATAGGCAGCAGACTATCCAGTAAGTAGTTGGAAGACAGCAGTAAACAACCTACACTAACAATTGGCCCCAAATTGTGCTGGTCACAAACATTAAGTTGTAATTAAGTGATTTTGTTTGTTGTCTTCATAGTCTGTCTCTTCACATGGTATTTCATTCAGAAGGTTCCTCATGGCAATGTAAGACTGCATTGTACATTTTAATAAACAGCAAGGCAGGAAGAGCTTTAAAATTTGAAGTTACATATGGTCACTCTTGACCTGACATTGGGATCTTGCATATGTTCCCATCTCCATGTCATTTATCAGGTACTTTTAAAAACAAGACCATGAAATGAGGAATCAACATGGGATTGACCAGAAGAAAATGGATGCTGAGGAAGACATTCAGTAACATTAAAATGTAACTAATTCAAAGCTGATAGGAGGAGATGCTCTTTCCCAAAATGCTAAATTATTTGGGAATATCATTGAGGCTAAGAGT